AAAAAAAAAAAAAAAGAGTACAATGGAATATAACTAAAGCTGCCAGAGGGGAGTGTGGTGGGTGAGAACACAGGAGAGGAGGGGCCCAATGGAGTGTTACTGGGCCTTTGGTGGTAGGTGTGGTGAAATAGCATATATTTGCAGAGGTATAAAACTATTCCCCTAAGACAGTCTGTGTTGTAAATCAAGATAAATATAACTTTAAACAAGAAAAAAAAAACAACTATCTGTATTCCAGAGATCAAAGGTAATATAAATTGCCATATTAAAATTAAGAAGCTTATTTCTACATCTACCTTATGTTATGTAAATTATACTAAACAATGACTTTTCATTCCCTCATTAAACAAAACAAACAAACAAACCCACCTCGGGAACCACTAGCAACTTTTATGTATTTCCAATTAGTTATCAAGTTCTTAACTCATTAGGTAGGTAACAACCTGCTAATCCAATCAATAAAATAGCGACATATTTAGAATGATTATAGAAAAAAGTACCTATCCAATTTTCATAAATTCTAGAAAGTTAATCACATTAATATTCAAATGTTAATTCCAAGCTAAAATTGGGTGGTAATTGGAAGGCTCATATAAAAACAACTTGAAAATACAGCTGACCCTTGAAGAACATGGGCATTTACATGCAACTTTTCTTTGTTCAGTAAATATAGATGGTTCTCCATATTCACAGGTCCCACGTTCATGAATTCAACCACCCACTGATACAGATTAGTTGAATCATCAGATGCAGAGCCCTATGGATCCAGGAGCTTTGGAAAATAGTTGGGGAAAGCGATGAACTAGACACGCTGATAAACAGGAGGGCTGTCACTGCACCAGGATGGCCATCGCCAGGCCCATGGAGGGGTGAAGCACCCTTCTCCCCAGGCAAGTCTCCTGGATGAAAAATGAGTCTTTGACATGAATCTGTGCATAAACACAGCTTGGAGGTTTCCTGTTAAAGTGACACTCTAAAAATATTTTAGACATCTTGAAATAGGGGTGATGATACATGCACATCAAAAGATGAATTCTAGGTTCTTCAATTACTCCCTCATTCTACAAGTATTTCCTGTTTCCCTGATAAATTCCTGTTTCCCTGATAAATTCTGTGTTTGGGGGTAATATTAGAATAGGACTAAATGAGTTGTTTTCTAACTTTAACTTGACTTGCTGTGTGTAAGCAACTGGGAGAAGGGAAGTCACAGTCACCCTCAGAGCCTTCTCAGAACTCAGCCTCCTCTCCTGCCCCTCTACTCAATCCCCAGCACTCTTCCTGGTAACAACAAAAGGCAGACCAGCCTACAGGTATTCTGGAGGGGTTCCTGTAAACAGTGGCACAGTCACTGGGTCCCAGAGATGAGCGTGCCTTCAGCGAAGTTGATGGTTTGGGACCCCATTTCGTACAGTCAACACAAAAGAGGTTGGCCGAATAGTGACAAGGTGAGTCCTCCAAAGCCACTAAGCGCCACTTTCATTGTGCCTGTTATTGCCTGCTGTTTAGCCCGCAAGCTGGAAAATAAAATTCAGTAGAAATACCTCGGGTCGCGACCATCCTTGACGTCTGACTCGGGTTCATCAGCACGATGGTCGTCTTTGAGGACTATGGCCCACGCTAGTAAGGATCTATCCCCACTACTTGTTAGATTCAGAGGTTCTGGCCACCCCAGAAAAATTAAATCAGAACCCCGATCTTAATCAGAAATGCCGAAGCACAGGCTTGACATCCACAGGCGACATGTCTGTGTCCTTTCTTGGGGAACTGAATGGGGGCCAGGGCCTCTCCCCAGGTGTCCTAATATGACCCAGGGCCAGCTCACAAACGAAGGGGCGCGGCCCGCTTGGGCATCTGGCTTTTCTTGCTACCAGCCCTAGAGGACGATCTGAGAGCCGCCACTATCGCCAGAGCTCCTGATATGCCGGCCCGCGACCCTAGGCAAAGCCATTGCAGAAGATTCCAGGTAATGTGAAGTCCTGTGCCTTACTTCAGCGACCGTCTAAGCTAACTTCTTTCCATTTCCCTTGAACACCTGCAGCTTTGCTCGTCCTCCCTTTCTCCCTGACGCAGGGATATCTGGATCATGTGCATTCTGTCCCATGTTGTTTTAACCTTTGTTGAAGGGCTTGTTTTCCCCGCACTCTATAAACAATTTTGTTTCTGCTTCAGGATATGAAAATGTCCTGAGGATCTCCGAAATTTCCTATCTTTCCATTATAAAACAAGCTATACTGGGTCTTTTTCAACTAAAAACTAGTAAAACAGAGTTGGGATTTATTTTTGCCTATTAAATCGGCAATATTTGCTTTTAAATGAGATTGTCATTGCAACAAGAATACGGGAAGAGTTACTTTTGCACATTTAGTAAATGTTAATTAACTGTATGTCAGCCTTAAAAATATTTGCATGGGAATGATTAAATAATTCATGGCATCTCCTTCAATGGAATATTTTAGGCAAAATATTTCAGTTTTTCAAAATATCTGATTGTAAATCATAGTTTATTAACTACATATATCCTCTGACCATGAAATGTTGGATAACTGCACAGTTCAGTAAGGTGACATTCACCAGTCACATGTAGCTGCTGAGGACTTGGAATGTGACTAGTACCACTGAGGAGCTATACTATAATTTTACTTAGTTTGAATTGAAATAACATGTACACGTAGTTACCATATTAGATGATGATGCTACATAGAAACATTTCAATTTTGTTTAAAAAATGTGTATGTGTGATATGCACTACAGAAATCTCAAAGAAGCAGTTATAGGGGACAACAAAGTTTAAGAGTTGCTCTATCTCCCTAATATAGACCTGGTGATTTGAGGAAGGCAAATGCTACCTCTGGTTTAAGGGGAGAGCCCTGTGGTACTGACTAAAATACCAGCACTATGCTTGCTCCTTGCTACAGTCCAGGGTTGGGCATGTGACCTAATTTGGGTCAATGGAACAGATCTCATATCTGATTAAATTTGTCAATACCAGTTCAGGCTGAACACAGCATTAAGGGCCAGTCTGTAGGCATCACATACAGAGGTCAAAAAAACCTTTGTTTAGTAAATTCAACATCTTTTTTTAAGATTTATATTTTTTTTTTATTTATGCACATAAGAACTGGGGTGTCATTCAGAGGTGCAGAGGCTGAGTAGGGAGTAGAACAGGGATATCTGATGAAATACAGTGCTGAGGGGAGCAGCAGGTGAGACAGGAGAGGTCTGCTGCACCATGTAGGTTAGCTCCCTGGCAGGGATGGAACTCATATGGCAGTGGCTAGAGATAGCTTGACAGCACTGAGACACAACCCTTGTGTCACCAGGAAGGCCCAAGTTCTACATCATTGAAAAACAAGCCTTTTGTTACATAGCAAGGTGGACATACCTAATGCTATAAATGGCATGCTTAAAAATGGTTAAAATGATACATTATGTGTATATTTTATCACAATTATAAACAATTCTTTTGAGAAAAACAACCAAGCACTGTGGTACAAAACCACCATAAAATCAGGTAGCCCATTAACATCCCACCCTGTTTGGCATGCTTACTACAGCCCAAGACCCTAGACACATAAAGTTACTTAGAACTAATAAGAGTGGGCTTCAGGTTTTTTGAATGTATACAAGTGCCCCTAACTATCAGTATTTAAAAACTAAAAATGATATAGGAAATAGATCTCTCCCAACAGCAACAGTGACATACCTGGTATGTCCTCTTTGAATTCTATCTGGGATAGTCAATGTTAATAAATAGGAAGACTCAATATAAAACAGGTTGGAAAATGTTCTTTTTATTTTCTCTCCTCTTTTGGTGTAAAATACTGAAATCACGCCTATTTATAGGAAAGGATTTAATATAGGGACTTGTATAGACAAGCAATGGAGAACTCAATAGATAAATGGAAACTATAATAACATCGTAAATATATGAAGTAGCTACCACTTCTAGGAATAAAGAGCAAGGAAGAGACTGGATTTTAAAACTAGGAGTTTAGGAATCTAAACAGAATTGTGGCCCAGACCCCTGATGAGGAATGCTGGTCAATTGTGTTGGTATGTCAGGAGCCACACAAAAGATAAAATGTTAAGCTTTAGTCTTGAAAGAACTGTTTTATTTCTAGTTTGCTCTTACAGAAAGCAGACCCTTCCTTAAGCCATTTTACTTCCACTTACTGGAATACTATCTCAATGTGCTTAATTTGTAAACCAACACTGTCCACAATGTGAATGGCACTCAGCATGTAGCACAGAGGGCCACTGGCTATTCCCTGTTTTCCAAAAAGTTGCTGAATTTTCTCATTTCCTTATGTCTCTTTTCTCATTTTATTTTATCCTTTTTATTCTTTATGATTTTAGTGTGATTTCAAGAGTATCATAGAGATGTTGCCTCTCTCCTAGTATCAACATTGTTTTTGGAGATCCAAAGAGGAAAACTAAACATGAGAATGAAAATCAAGTTTTAATCTTATATTGGTGTAAAACATTTCTGCCAATAAGATGTCTGAAGAAAAAGAGCTAGAGGATATCACTAGTCAATTTAGAGAAGAATCTAGTTTACAGTCAGTGGAGGACCCTGAAACATCAGATTCAATAAAGAATGTTTCTAGTGGGGAACTTTCTAACCAGACTTCTGCTGCAGAAGATACATTTGAGTTAACATCCTTGTCAGGAAGTAAATCTAAGATAAATGAAGAACAAAGTGAAGATCTTCAATTTTCTGAAAAAAACATTAGAAAACACAGCTCCCAATCAACAACTGAAACTTCACAAAATCCATCATTATCAAAAACTGAGATGATTACAGCAGATGAGTCTTTTACTGACTTCCTATCTCATGAAACAGTAGGAAAAATTAGTCTGCAACAATCTGAAGAAAATCTTGGCTTAGGGTCGGATAAATTTACAATTAAACTCAAGGATCAAGGTTTACAAGAATTACCTAATAACATTTTTAAAAACAAACTTGTAAAATATCTTTATTTAGACAAGAACCAAATTAAAAGTTTTAAAGAAGCAAACTCAGGTGATCTGCTAGGACTTGAAATTCTGTCCTTGAAAGAAAATGGATTATCATCAATTCCACCTGAAATCCAGTTACTTCATAATTTAAGAATATTAAATGTCAGTCACAACCAAATATCACATATACCTAAAGAAGTATCACAGCTTGGGAATATCAGGCAACTCTTTTTTAATAATAATCACATTACTAATTTTCCTTCTGACTTAGAAAGTCTTGGAAACTTGGAGATTTTAAATTTGTCTAAAAATAAATTACAGCACATACCAGACAATCTCTCTAGTTTGAAAAACTTGAGGGTTCTCAATCTGGGATATAATCAGTTAACAATATTTCCTAAAGCATTGTGCTTCCTTCCAAAGTTAATTTCATTAAACCTTACTGGAAACCTGATAAGAAGTTTGCCAAAAGAAATTAGGGAGCTTACAAATTTAGAAAAACTTTTAATGGATCACAATAAACTTACTTTTTTGGCAGTGGGGATTTTTCAATTGCTCAAAATGAAAGAACTCCAACTGACTGACAATAAGTTGGACATAATTTCAAACCAAATCGAAAATTTTAAGGAACTTAGAATTCTACTACTTGATAAAAATTTATTGAAAGAAATACCGGAGAAAATTTCCCACTGTGTAATGCTGGAATGCCTTAGCCTTAGTGATAATAAATTAAAAGAACTTCCTAAAAACATCTATAAGCTTAAAAACTTAAGAAAGCTCCATGTCAACAGAAATAACATAATAAGAATAACTGAAGATATCTCACATCTTAATAATATGCTCAGTTTAGAAATTTCAGGCAATATAATCACAGATGTTCCCATTGAAATAAAGAACTGCAGAAAAATCACTAAAGTTGAGCTGAGTTATAATAAAATAACATATTTTCCAGTAGGTTTGTGTGCTTTAGATTCTCTTTCTTATTTGAGTTTTAATGGAAATTATATTTCAGAAATACCTGTGGATATATCTTTCAGTAAGCAACTGCTTCATTTAGAATTTAATGAAAACAAACTTCTCATATTTTCTGAATACCTATGTTTTCTCATTAATCTTGAATACCTCGATCTTGGCAAAAATCAAATAAGGAAAATTCCACCTTCTATTTCCAACATGGTATCACTTCATGTTCTTATTTTACACTGTAATAAATTCGAAACTTTCCCTATGGAAGTGTGTACTTTAGAAAATTTGAAAGTACTTGATCTTTCAGAAAATCAAATACAGAAAATCCCTTCAGAGATATGTAAATTAAAAGGAATCCAGAAATTGAACTTTTCAAGCAATCAATTTTTATATTTTCCTATTGAACTGTGCCAACTTCAATCACTGGAAGAGCTGAATATAGGTCAGATAAAGGGGAAAAAGGTAAGAAACTTGATATTTAGAAACTGACACTTTGGGTTTTACATAGAAGTTGGAACTGGAGGGAATCAGAATATAAACTGGTGTGTGTGTGTGTGTGTGTATTAAATATCTGGAATATTTTACTTTTACTTTTTTTTATTTAACACCAAACATGACTTATACATATACTTCTCAACACAAAAACTTTATAGGAAAGTATTTCATTAAAATTAAATGCCAAGTAATTAAAGCTGGTGATTTTATAGATTTTAAAAGGAGGGTTAACATTATGTATAAAATGTAAATAGTATACTGAAAGTTTGGAAAATAGTACAAAATAATTCCATAAGCATATTATTGTAATATAATATGGTCATATGCTGCTACAGCTTACTTTCAGTCTTTTTTCTGACATATATATATATATATATAGAGAGAGAGAGAGAGAGAGAGAGAGAGAGAGAGAGACTATCTCAAGCATTATAAAGACTATATTCAATTTTAAAATTCTTCTATTTTTATTTAATGTATCATAAGCATGTCCCATGATATAACAATCTCCCCCAAAATTGTTATAACCAGTACATAATTTGTATAACTGATACTCTGTTGTTAAGCTTTTAGGGAATGTTGTAATTTTTCATCATTATAAATAATACTGTGATTAACTTCTTCATAATAATAGCCTTTTCCAATCATGCTTAGTGAAATAAGCCAGAAAGAAAAGGAAAATTACTGGATGGTTTCTCTCATAGCAGGAATATAATGGACCAGGCAAGAAAATAATAATAATAATGAACAGTTATATACCAGAGACAATTTATGGGGGTGGAGTGGGGAATGGGATCAAAAACAGTGGGGGGATGGAGGAAGAAATGCACTGGACTATGATGATGGCACATGGGTGATTTGGTGATGGGAAGCCCAAGGGGATTACAACTGAGATGGAAAAATGCACAAAATGATGTAAAAATAAACTATTATGTTATTTTTTAAAAAATAGCTTTTTCCATATTTTACTATTTTCCTAAGTAATTTTCCCTAAAGAATTGCTAAATCAATGGGAATAAGTATCCATATAGTTTAGAATTTCATTTTATTTTAAATCGAAGCATGAATTATATGGAAATACCATTTTAAAATAAAGTATTACTGACTTATGCAAAATTTCAATATTATAATTAATGGCTATTATCTAGCTATTTGTAATTTGACCACCATCTGCAAACTAAAGACTTTCACTAGAAGTCAGGCTGCTATATAAAGAATGATGTCCTAAAGTCCTTTCTAAAAACACTAGTCCCATGAACTTTAAGAAAGTGAAGGGAGAAGGGTTCCTGCGATCAAATAGCTTGAGATGCACTGTGTTCTTAGAGAACCACAATAAATATTAGTATAATAAAAGCTTAGAAGAGCCTTTCATGAAGATAGCAGAGAAAGTAAAAAGGGAAGTCCTTACCCTTCCCAAAGTAAAAGCAAACACAAAAGCAAAAGCTTCTAAGGCCACAAAACAATGAGCAAAGGATCACAGTCCTGCTGGTGGGAATGCAAACTAGTATAACCACTATGGAAAACTGTTTGGAGGTTGCTCAAACTGCTTAACATGGAGCTTCATGTGACCCAGCAATCCCACTCCTAGCTATCTCCCCAAAACACACAAAAACACTGATTCAAAAGGATATCTGCATCCGCATGTTTATTGCTGCCTTATTTATAATTGTAAAGACATGGAAACAGCCCAAATGCCCAAAAGTGGATGACTGGATTAAAAAGATGTGGTACATATACACAATGGAATATTACTCAGCAACCAAA